GAACAAAAATGTCACCTGTTCATGTTCAAAATCTGAATTACTGATATAAATGATGATGCACAACCTGTCTGTTTCTGCTTCGTTGTTCAAATATCCTGGTAATGGGTGCTGTCATGTTGGTGTACCCTGTAGCCACCCATCAGGAGGGGCATCCACTTCCACGTTATATTCTGACCTTAGTTACTCCTTTTAAGGTAAAACACCAAGCAACAAAAAGAACAAGTGGTCCACTAGTTTCTATGAAAACTGACGGTCTTCTTCGATGCCAGCTTATTTGGGGCATTTTGATGGGACTGCAACCCAGCCTAAAAATCTAGAAAAACCACAGCAGTAGCAAAATATTTTGCACTACTAGCTATGCTCCATTGTAGCCTCAGCAGGTCTCCCATTGGCCCAAACAATGTCAGGTCAGGCCAATCACAGCGCTCTATGTTTGTAAAGACGCTGAGTGGGCTTAGCTTGAGAACTGAGATGGAAGACACATGGGGTCGGCTCAGGATAGCACTGGTTTGAAACAACTTTGGCATCAACATAGACTTTAATTTGAGACATGAGCAGATATAGGTACTTAAGTCTTTTATTTCAAAATTCTGTATTTTCTTCTTCAGCTTTGATGGCACATGTCGGACTGCCCTGATGACTGAGTTCTGTCTATATGAATGTGTCACATAGCCTGTTTATCTGATTGGTCCTAGTGCTGTCTAAATGTGTGCCAAGACATTCTGAAATACAACTTCTGCCCCATGACTGAGCTCTGTCTGAGGGCTGTGGCCAGACTTTATTTACATATATAGTATGGGTTGCCAGACTAACTGGAACCAGCTACTACTGGGAAAGCTTCAACTTCCAAGTTCCAGCTGGATGTCTAGCTTTTGTATGTTGACGGTCAGGAAAATGTCCCATTCATTTGTACAGGGGTTTGGGAGGGGTATAAGAAAGTAATTAGCTGGACTTGGTCATTGTAAATCAAGGGTGTTAATTTGTAAAACTCTGATGTTTGTATTTATGGTTTAATTGTACTTAGAGTTCGCTCAAGGCATCACTCAAGCCGATGAGAAGAGCTGTGGCTGAAAACCTCACATTAATTTTTTGTAGGACTCTGACAGATTAATTTTAGGCATTTCTGTTTGGGTTGACGCTTTTGTCTGACACTGGTCCTGAAAATGGCTGTTGGTGAAATGCTTTACATGAGTTCCTCTGGGCAGATGATCAGACTTTTGTTAGAAGAGCAGGGCGGGATGCAGAATTTTGTTTTATTTACTCATGGTCATTCAGTCAGGGGGTGTTTACGTACAAAACTAAAGGCACTGTCCTTGTTTTCAGCTGGTGTGGTTCAGGTTCAATAATGCCTTCCAGAGCAAGAATTGAGGGAAAAAATGTAAGGAGAGGCTGAGGAGCCGCCAAAGGAATCTTCTTTAGAGTTGCTTTTTCACAACTAAATTTACAGATCTTAAAGGATCAAATACTTTTTTTAAATAAAAACAACAAAACTGGAGAAACAAACAGCTTTTTTTCTTAATTTTTTTCCACCAGTGTTGGTAATTATAGTGTGTGGTTTTTGTTTCACTATGTTTAAAATGACAGTTGCAATGATGCGCTACAGTCAACTGTCCAAAACAAAGACAAGGAAAAACAGTTGTGTAAACACTTGCATCCAAGAGTGAAAACAACACACTGTAGCTTTAAAGTCTCTTTTTCCATTAAAAAAAAGTTCAAACACTGAAATCTAAACCCAGATTGACCTTGAGACGTCTTCATTGATTTTCGACCAAGTCCAGTGTTGGATGACGTTGCCCTCTAGGCAGATCATCATTGTGGGCCCTCTGACATTTATAAACAACTCCTTTCATATCAGGGCTGAAAAGCAAAGCTGTCTTTTTCTGAGCATGATGAGTAAGGCCTCAACCCTGGTGTCAAACATTGTCACAGCGCAGAACTGATGTAAGGGACCCCCCAAAAATGCACATACTCTACTTCGCTTTTCTTTTTTAAGAAATAAAAATGTAACAGGAATCATTTCAAACAGCAAAAACACGTTTAAAAACAAGCTGTCAAAAAGGGGAGAAGAACTTTGTTCCTAAATAAGTCAAAACTGGTGCCTTTAAAACAATGATTCTCTTTGTGCTTTTGTCAGCCAATCCACTAGGGGGAGCCATCTTTGGGGAGTTTCGAGAGAAAAACAGAAATGAAAGAGGAAGAATAAAGGTGCCATTTTTTCCTGGTTATTTATCTGAACTTTCAGGGTGCAGATAAAGAGGATGTTTGAATGGCGTCACAGGAAAATGGCATCTGATCACATTTATAAACAAAGACTTTCAGATTTCACTGCATCGTCATCATCGTATCATCACTACTCTAGCACCACAGCATGACACTATTATAAATCATTACAGGCATTTACTCTCATCTAGGAGTGCAGCACAGAAAAAAAAACTTTTTAAATATATTACTCTGTGTCTCCTCCATTATAAATAGCTCTTGTTCAGGATTAATCTCTGCTAGGGAGGTCGGATAGCACCTTCCTGTCCAGTGACACAACCATGTGGGAAGGTTTTTGGTCTGGCATGAACAAATCACACTTCTTTTCTTTTATAACCAGTGGATGGGTCCGATTTTAGAATGTGCTTGAATAAGAGGTGTGTTTATTGTTTTGTAATTCACTTCAAACATGATCACAGACATGAGGAATGGATGAATTAAAAAAGTGACGGAGTTATTGAGACTTGTATTTGTTAAAAATCAAGTTCAGTGATTTTTTTACTTGTTATTTTCGAAGCATGATTGGTCACTCAGAGTTAAAAATTGCAGGCTCAATGTGAAAATGGTCTTCTACCCCTATTTCCTATACTAGCTACTGATAAAAAAAATGACAGGGGAACACTCAGACATCACTCCGTAAATTAGCATTCCTGGTCTCACTCATATTGACTCGCGATGGGGAAGGTTGTTGTTTATTTATTGTCCTGGGAAGTGCAGAACTCGTCTTGGATAGTAGAAACTAACTGTTAGCATTAGCAACTCCACCACACAGGAGAACTCTTTCAGGCTTGTGTTATTTGTGAAGATAAAACATCAACATTGCAGGGCAAACTGAGTTTGTGGTAGAGTCGCATTGCTGTTAGCCAAAGGCAAGATGTCCAAATGTCTTACTAGGGCTGCCAACTTTTGCGCCACACCTCCAATTGCTTTAAACAAGTTGGCAACCCTGGATTCTAAAGCCTGCCATGTTCTGCTCCCCACTCCTCAGGCTCACTTCTGCTTCCTGAAAAAGTTGCGTCGGATATCGTTTCTCACAGAGATTGTTTCGCAAGTTATTTTTTTTGTACTGGAGACCAGTGCAAATGAGTTGAAAAAAATGTCTGAATTTGGTCTTTAAAGAATCCTTCACTGCATCAGTAGATCATTTTGGCATCAGTTTTCCATTTCATCCTCTCATATCCATGATGTAAGCATACAGTTTCCAGATTAGAGAATAACAATACGGTCTTTAACTAGCAACGCTCCATTGGCAGCTCTCGTCATGGGGCTGGTTCTACCGGTGTCTTTCAAATGATCTCTGCATGCTACTGGACAATGAACAATGTGGCATACTCACTGCAATGGATGTCGGTAACCAAGGCTGTTGAAGAAAGTAAAAATACATAGTTTTTCTAAATAAAGGACTTAAATGCATTTATCTGCTCCTGATTCTAATAAAGCCCAAGTCCAAACAGTCCAACATGTATGTAAATGAGCTGTCGCAATCATGCTCCACTCAGTCGCATCATCCTGGCCACCAAAGGGCCCTCATTGGCCCACAAAGCCGATAGATTGCTGTGATTGGCAATCTTGGCCATTGTGAACCAATCACAGTGCTCTGTCAGTTTGAACCCCCTACAGAGAGCTGTGATTGGCCAGCCAGAATGGTGCTAGGGGCTGCGGAGGTGGCAATGGAGCGTTCCTAGACCAACCTTTGCAAAGCAAGAATTTGGTCTAGTTCACTAGGCTAGTCTTTAACTGCTATGAGTGAGAGTTTGCTAAACCCCACCCCCAAACAGGAATAATCCAGTCAGTTATAACTGGTTCTAATGAATCCACCAAGAATTAGATTTCTTTGTGCAAATGGGAGAAGTTAGAAAGTTTGAGAAACTTGAGACAACCTTTGGGAAGGGTTAGGGACCAACTTGCTGGATAAATCGCCTTAAAGCTGAAACTGTGACTAAACAGTTGCACAACTGTTCCGGTTTGCTTTAATTAGCATTGTTTGTTTGTAACAAATAAACAAGCATGTCACTATGTAGTCACACATACCAATTCAGTGTGATTCCAACAGAAATTTTCCATACTTTCTCACCTTGCTTGGTTGTCATCAGCCCAGTGAGAAACTAACTTTCCTCTCCAGAACGTTGCTTCAACTGTCTGCTGTTTTTTCTTCTCCTTTGAAATACATTTGTTGTTTTAAATTTGAAATCACAATTTTTTTACACCAGAAATCTCGTTAAGGATGCAGTGTAACAAATGAGGATGGGGCCTTGTGAAAGTTTGTGAGGAAAATATGCCATTTTTGAACATTATGAACACATATTTAGATGTACTGGATCCACAGCTAAGTAAATAAAATAATGACATGGAGGATTTTGGTCATTCAGATTTCTAAAGATTGGATTGTCTTCACTCCAGCAGAGCACGGCATAGAAAAATGATTGATGTCAAGTCCTAAAAATATTGTCTGAATACTGGTTTTGCTTTAGTCAGCTCAAGAGTAGCCCCAGTCTGAAAGCACAAAATTTTACTCTGAAGGTCGCCGACCTTTTGGGTTTAGAGGATGACTGATCAAAAATAAGATGGAAACACCAAGATTTCCAACAGGATGAGCTAAACTTCCCTAAATTAGCATACTGGCAAATTAAGCCTAAGTATAGCATACAGTAGTAATACTCAGGCTGTGGTGTGCTAAAGCCAAGGGGTGTGTGTTGATTTCACGGTCAAAAAGAAAGCAAACTTCACTGATGTGAAAGACTTGAAATCTTCTCATTGTGGAGTGCGCGTTAGGCAAGTTTTTTTACTGAACAGTGCTGGTGCTATCCCTCCCCCCCTCCTTTACTGCTCTTCATCCTCCTCTTCTCTCTGCTGGATGGGTCAGTGGCGATCGTAGGCAGAGCCTGTGGCAGTGGCAGCGGGGGCCCGCCCCCCGTGATGTTGCGCCGTAATAATATGGAGATCCTGCAAAGAAATAAAAGTTGTCTGTTTTATAACAAAAATGATCTATTCTTATTCTATAAACAAAAGGTGCAGCTTGTATTTTTTAACTGAAAAAAAAAAGATCTGTAATTGTAGTAAAAGGGAGTTTTCCTCTCCACTGTCGCTGCATGCTTGCTTAGTATGAGGATTGCTGTATAGTCACTGACACTAGTCAGTGACTTGATGCAATTTGCTGGGTTCCTTATATAGGAAACAATATTTCTGATTGGCTTAATGAACTGTGAATTGGAATGTTTATTATGTGAAGTGCCTTGAGACGACTCTTGTCGTGATTTGGCGCTATATAAATAAACTTGAATTGAATTGAATTGAATAGTGCCATTAAAGTTTTACAACTTAATTTTGTTAGTGAATTTGCGCCTGAGGTGCGTTGCAGAGAAAAAAATCAACGTTTTTATGACACATAACTCCAATAACACCTACTGCATGATATAAAACCTGGAGCAGACTCTTGACTGCATTGGAGCACCCAAAAATAAAAATGATAAAATAATAAATCCTGTCTCATTCTGTCCTATTTATGGCTACTGCCCTCTGGTAAAGGATTTACAGGCGGCAAGGGTCAATTTCATGTCTTTCTTTTTGTTAGGCCTACACTGATATATCAATACATTATGAAATAAAACATAATAATGTATATTTTTCATATGAACATCAGCCAACAAATAGTTCAGATTTAAAATCTAGTTAATTTTTTATCTTTTATGTTTCAGGATTCAAAGCTGTGACATTAATTCCAAATAACCAGTGTGCTTTTATTTATATTTTTTTGTTAGTTTGTGTTTTTTACTGAAGTTTTGTGCACATCTCAGTAAATTGGAGACTGAGACACTAAACATACAATAATAAACAGTTTGTTAAAAACTGCTGCAGTTGCAGCAAGAACAAATGCTTTATGACTTTGGTGGTACACATGTAGTTATTTTAGCTGAGCCTTACAGTAACCTCGAATAAAAACCTTACATCTTAAAAGGGAGAGTCAAGTCAGCTTTTATTTGGAGATAGACATGGTCAGCTGGTATTTTACTCCCTCGTTCAGCTCTATTTGTTGTCTCTTCTATGTCTTAAGTGTCCAGTCTGAGGAATCTAGTGAGATCTACTGACATAAACAAAAAACTGCAACCAAGTATCATAAATATCTCACCCAACTTAAAAAAATAAATGAATACATTAAAAACACAAATTTATTTGTCTCCAGAGCGTCCTAACAAAGCAAATTACACAAATTGTTTATTGTTAGGCAAAATAAATTATGGAAATGCTTCTCATTTTTGTGACAAATTACAGTTTCAACATCTGTTGAACTAAATGTTACAACCAGAAAACAAGCAGACGTGGTGATAACAGTAGTGTACCAAGTACTTTGGATACAAACCTACTCCAGGTGTGGTAACTGGCAGATTTGAAGCTCTAAAACTCCAATAATATTATAACAATGTCTGAAATAATCCCCTACTGGAAGCTTTTATGCCAAAATTTAGCTAATTTCCATTCTTCTGTGAACTTCTGTCCTAATGTCATCACACAGACGGATCTCAGCAATTACCTCAGCGGGGATTATTCCCATTACAGATATAAACGATCATTGAAAGGACAAAAATAGGAGTCCAGTTGTAATAAATCTAAATTCTCCTTTAGAACACGGTGTAAATGTGAAATGAGCTGCTTCAATTTTCTCTTAAGATAATGTTTTATTGTGGATGAGAGGCAGAGCTGAGATGGCACGAGCAGATGAAGCTAATGGCCGAAAAAAATAGTCTCCCCTTCGTGCACAATCAGTCCAACTGAGTCTTCGTCTCTCTCTCTCTCTCTCTCTCTCTCTCTCTCTCTCTCTCCCTCTCTCTCTTGCTCTCTCTCTCGCTCTCTCTCTCTCCCTCTCTCGCGCTCTCTCTCTCTCCCTCTCTCGCGCTCTCTCTCTCTCTCCTCTCTCTCTCCCTCTCTCTCTCCCTCTCTCCCCCTCTCTCTGTCTCTCTCCTCTCTCTCTCTCTCTCCCTCTCTCTCTGTGTCTCTCTCCCCTCTCTCCCCCCCCTCTCTCTCTCTCTCTCTCACACACACACACACACACACACACACACACACACACACACACACACACACACACACACACACACACACACACACACACACACACACACACACACACACACACACACACCATCTAAGTGACACCATGAGAACAGCTCTACCACCACTGATCCCTTGAGTCTATTCTCTCTCCTGGGAGGAGGGCAATTCAATACGGTAACCCCAAAGAAACTTCACACTCTCACACCTTAATACACACAGAAACCACCCCCACCCCCACCCTCGCACACACAAACACACACCTGTCTCGGTCCCTTCCATCAATCCAACGAGCTGCTGACAGGTTGTGTCTGTCCACAGTCCAGGTAATCTCAGGAGTCTCTTTGGGGAAGTGAGGCATTAAGCCGATCTGACAAACTCTTTAGTCTCACTCAAGACTTCAGACGCCCTCGCTCACATCTTTCATCCTCCTCTCAGATTCTTGTTCCAGTTTCAAGTGCATCTGGTCCTCACACTATGTGCTCGCTCATCCATCCATTGTCAAACCAAACTTCTTCTTCTCACCTGTTCGCCTGATCTGATCTGCATACATTTCTTCCTAGTTTTAATTTATTTGACTCTCTCTCTCTCTCTCTCTCTCTCTCCTCTCTCTCTCTCTCTCTCTCTCTCTCTCTCTCTCTCTCTCTATCTCTCTCTCTCTCTCTCTCTCTCTCTCTCTCTCTCTCTCTCTCTCTCTCTCTCTCTCTCTCTCTCTCTCTCTCTCTCTCTCTCTCTCTCTCTCTCTCTCTCTCTCTCTCTCTCTCTCTCTCTCTCTCTCTCTCTCTCTCTCTCTCTCTCTCTCTCTCTCTCTCTCTCTCTCTCTCTCTCTCTCCATACCTTGCATTTGTCCTGCCTGGCTGGTGAAGAGACTGGACGAGCAGCCGATCTCCGTCCCGAGGAGAGACCCATAATCCTGCTGAAACACTGGAGACAGAAGGATGGAGGGAAACAGAGAAGTTACTTTATATGTAATCCATTACTCAGTGCATATTGCCCTTCACCCCAAAATGTTCCACAAATTAAAAAAACAAGACCCCTCACATAACCAAAGGCGTGTTTATGATGCCCTTTAGGTGTGTGTTACAATATTGGCCCACGTGATGCACCAACCTAATAGGCTGGGGTTTGGAAATCTCCATGATTCATTGTACGTGGAATACTGTGGGTGGGAATACGGGCTCCCAGAAAAATCTCCTCCTGAAATAAAGCACAAATCATGAATACAGAGCATGTTTATGTGTGATCTGTTCAGAAATAATATGCCAAAGGATTTTAGTATCTGTAGGACTAAGCAGAATTTGGTGAAACATTTGACGTCTGACAGGCAGCTGTTGGATTCGTGTTTGTGGCTCTCAGCAGAAGAAAAGGTTGCCGGACAAATACAAATACATTTTAACTTGAGAAATGATGGAAGTGAAGCTGATTTGCTCCGACGTTGAAATTTACAGGACGTATTTCATAAGCAGACCTTTTACGGCCCATCAGCACTCTCAGTATGTTGTTTTATTTATATTTTGCTCACACGTGGTAACAAGTGCCCCTAGTTTCTAACACACGGCTGACTAGTTGATGAGGAATGAACTACTGAGCTCATTCCTGCAGCTTTTCTCCCTCATTTACTACTCACTGTCTGGAGTCCACTCTTCCTCTTGTCTTCTCCTTTCTCAACTCCCTTCACCCGTTCCTCCTTATTCTTTGGTCTTCCTCTATAGTCTACAGCCTACCCGTCACCCTTCACATCAAGACAACATTCTCCTCTATTTCTTCTCCTCTTCCCCACTCTCTCTTTCCTCTCTCTCTCTCTGAGTACTTTCAGTCTGTTGCTCTTTCTTTTCTTCTTTTCCTGAACCACCCTTCCTCCCGAGGGATCCCTCTCCCATAGCTGACAGTCACGGACCCTGATGCCCCCTCCCGCTATGCCCCCCAACCCGTTCCTCTTTCCCTGCCTCTCGTTCTGTCGGTTCTGCCTCACTGCTCTCCAACACCCCCTCTGTCAGCCCCCCTGCTGAAGGGAGACAGAGAGAGACGGAGAGGGAAGGAGACCAGCACAAGAGAGTTGCTTACTTAATGAAGGTATGATATTAGACAGAGTGAACAAAAAGGAGGATAATTTAGCTGAAAAGTGCTGAGATAAAACCGGCGGCACGAGGCTATGTTTGGAAATCATCTCTCTGCAATTCTAGTCAGCTCACGGATTCGGGGGGGCTCGAGAAAAACTCGAATACTGACACTACTTGTGTGTTTTTGTTTGTGCAAGTTTTCTCTGTGCGTGTTCGTTTAGTTGCGTCTGTCAGGTGGGGTCGAGATGCGGTCTCCATGGCATCCCTGGGCGCCAACATCCTCTCCATTGTCATCGCCGCAACTGACGGCGGCGTGTCAGGTTGTTTAGAAGATGGGAGGCGGAGGGGGCAAGAGGAGAGAGGAAAGGAGGCTTAGGGGTCTCCCTTGTGTAGCTCAGTGTGAAGGTCGCATACGCAGACACTGTCAAAAATAAACACACACACACACGCACACACACAGTCCAAACACACTCTCCAATATCCTGTCAAACCTGAGGACAGGACGGCATGAGCGCAGTGGGACAGGGCGACAGGGTTACCCATCTTTAGACGTGCTGTTCCTACATGTCCACTGAGATTTGCTGTGTGTGTGTGTGTGTGTGTGTGTGTGTGTGTGTGTGTGTGTGTGTGTGTGTTAAACAACTGGGAATGCACTGAGATAGCAACACTGTTTTCTGACACCGCTCCTCTGTACGGCTTGTTTTTTCTCTGTATTTTGCACCCACACGATAAATGCTGACCATGAACGGCGCTGCTGGGGAGAGCGTACTAGAAGAGAGATTGAGGATGGCGTTCCAGGATTGAAACACAAAAGCAGCATGGAAGGCGGAGTGGAAGGGAATGAATGAATTAGTCGTGGGTCACTGGTGATTCTCATTAAAAACAAATTACTAATGTTGAGGAGGGACAGCTGTGCTACTGTGGCTGGTTTCTAATGACACACGCACACACGCACGCACGCACGCACACAAACACACACGTACAACACGTTTTCAAAACACTAGTGCAAACACGCATGCATCCCCCTGGGATCACTGACACCCCCTCGAAAAACAGACAAGAGAGAAGTGGGAAACCTAAGTATACTCTTTGAAGTGACGCACACATACACACACACACACACACACACACACACACACACACACACACACACACACACACACACACACACACACACCTTTTCCCAAAATGTTCTCACATTTTGTTATTTCAGCAGCAGAGTCATGTGGATTGATGCTACATAAAGAAGTTAAATGTTTTTACTGTTAAAGTGGATTTGTGTTCTGTGTTTGTGCAGATACTCACCAGGTACCATGCCTGTGAGGGATGGGGTGGAGTAGCTGCCCTGTCCAGTGGGGGGAACGTGAGGAGGGTAGCCTGGAAGAGTCGTGCTGGCTAAATCTCGACCTGTCATCACACACACACACACACACACACACACACACACACACACACACACACACACACACACACACACACACACACACACACACACACACACACACACACACACACACACACACACACACACACACACACACACACACTGGTTTGTGTCAACATGATCACTAATTTCCCATTACAATCACATTTGTCCCTCTGTACCATGAAGTTCAAAACCTACAAGTACTTCTACTTTACTTTGGTTCCTTAGAATTGTGATGTTTGCTTTAGATTAAATCCTGATAGCTGTAAAATATTATTAAATAACATGAATGTTGTCGAATTTTGATAGTAGGCATGCTCAGACTTCAAAGATCTGATTGTTATAAATTCTGTGGCGAAGTTCAGAATTTGTAGTCTGCAGGAAGAAGGAGGACAGAGGAAGAGGGGGGCAAACTGAACTGTGCTGCTCAGATGGGATGTCAGACTAACTTTCAGACATTTTCCACCACTTGCTTTATTCAACAAAGTTCTGTGTTTCCAGATGAAACTACTTTTAAAAGGTGTTGGAGAACATTAAACGGATTTGAGGTCTCCTTGTACAAGGCATACAGCTGAACCTGAGCCAGCAGCTCCTTTCTGATAAAAGCCACATCTGTCATAAAAGGCTGAAGTTCTCTGGTCTTTTGAAGATGCACCAATTCTGTCTTTAAAGCTGTTAAAAATTCTGACTTTTGTACTTGCCCATACTCGTTTTAGCTGACAGCAATTTATTTTAAATTTTGGCTAGGTTATCCAGAGTTATCTCTGTAGTTATGCTATAGGCTTAGACTGCTGGAGGATACACTGACCACTTTCCACACTCGACTACTTTCTTCTAAAATTTACTCTTTAACTGTATTATTTTCTGCTTTTCAGCTGTTAACTTTATTTTGTCTCTAAGTGTTTTTCTCTCCAGAAGAAGCTACAATGACGTTCTGCTGAGCTGTGGTGGCCTCATGGAGGGGGCCATCGTCTAGCACACTGCTGCTAACCACTTAAACTTTCTCTCTCTCCTGATAATAACTTTTTACTCTCTTTGACATGAAATATGCTACTACTAGTTTACCCGTTTAATTAATTATAGATTCACTAAGATGAAGGCAATGAAGTTTATCTCTTACTAAATAAAATATTTACTAAGAAATCACAATGTATCCATAGAATTACTACTTGGTATATATGTTGTGTGTGTGTGTGTGTGTGTGTGTGTGTGTGTGTGTGTGTGTGTGTGTCTGCTCTGTCTTCTCGATCCCCAGTGAGTCGTGGCGGATGGCTGCTTATACTGAGGCAGGGTCCTCTGGAGGTTTCTTCCTGTTAAAAGGGAGTTTTTCTCTCCACTGTCACTACATGCTTGCTTAGAATGACGTGCTAGGACCGAAATTATTCAACCTATACCTGAACGACATCTTTTCTGTATCGTCTCGGTTAAAATTTATTATGTTTGCAGATGATACAAATTTCATTTGTATGGGAAAAGATATGAGTAAATTATTACAAGAGGTTGAAAACGAATTGGGTTCAATTAAAAAATGGTTTTATTACAACAAGCTATCACTAAATGAAAATAAAACCAAATTTATGATATTTTCAGGGAACAGGGACAATGGCGGTGCTAAGCTGTATTTAAATGGAGTCCCAATTGAACAAGAAACTAAATTCCTCGGTGTGATTATTGATAGTAAACTCAGTTGGAAACCACATATCGAATATATCAAACGGCAAGTGTCTAAATCTATTGCTATACTTTGTAAAACTTGTGATGTACTAAATAAAAAAGCCTTGTTTTTGATTTATAGCTCTTTAGTTATGCCTTATTTGTCTTACTGTGCAGAGGTTTGGGGGAATGCAGGTAAAACGTGTGTTGAGACTGTATTTAAATTACAAAAAAGGGCGATTAGAATAGTTAATAAATTGAGATACCTCGAACCAACCCATAATCTATTTAGTCAAACTAAAACGCTAAAATTAGGAGATATTATTAAAGTAAAAATCTTAGAGATTCTTCATAAAGTAGTTAATAATAATATCCCAAATTGCATAAAAGTTTATTTCAAACCAAGAGATGATCATTATAATCTCAGAGGTGTATTTATGTGTGAATGTGTAAAAGCCAGAACTAATGTGAAATCAAGATGTGTTTCCGTTGTTGGTGTGAAATTGTGGAATGAGTTAGATGATGATTTGAAGAAATGTACTTCTTTACTAAAGTTTAAAGCAGGTGTAAAGTGTCACATATTTACAGGGTATGAAAAGTATGTATAGACATTAATGAATTTTCATTGTGGTTATTTATATTGGGGAAAATAAAAGAAATGTACATTGGTTATGTATCTTAGGTGGAAAATAGGGTAGGCTAAAATAAGCATTGCTTCTGCCTATTCCTTTTTTGGTGTAAATTCAAGTTGTTAATATTGTTGTTTTGTTTGAAAAGAAAAATTTTATGTTGATGCTATAAACCAAAATAAAGACCAAAAGAAAGAAGAAAGAAAGATTGCTGTAAAGACACTGACACTAGTCAGTGACTTGATGCAACCTGCTGGGTTCCTTGTACAGGAAACTTTTTAATGATTGGCTTAACGAACTGACCTGTATTGGAATGTTTACTATGTGAAGTGCCTTGAGACGACTTTTGTCGTAATTTGGCTCTATATAAATAAACTTGAATTGAATTGAAACTTGTAGACAAGTATTTAAAGAAATAATTGAGGGTAAGATGGGAATTATTTAAAAATAAATCCCATCTCATGGGTGGTCTCATCATCACAGGTCCTCTACCAGAGGCCTAGGAGGTTGAGGGTTCTGGGCAGTATCATAGCTTTAACCTAGAACTGCACTTTTCTGGACTGAGATGTCTGATCCTTTTCCTGGGATCTGCTTTAGCCACTCCTCCTGTTTGGGGGCTACTGCCCCGAGTGCCCCGATGACCACGGCACCTCCTATGTCTTCACTTTGCAGGCCTTCTCAAGTTCTTCTTTGAGGCCCTGGTACTTCTCTAGTTTCTCCTGCTCCTTTTTCCTCATGTTTCCATCACTATATATATATATATATATATATATATATATATATATATATATATATATATATGTATGTATTTTTCCTTGAGAACTGTTGATTTCGATCTGTCTAGGTACTTCCACAATGCTGCGCCCCCACTCTGTTATTGACATTTGTACATAAGTGGATGTCTAACACTATTGGATAATGCTGAGTGGCGCTCAGTTAAAACTGCGTGGGGCTTTAGAGGATGGGAATGACTTAACAAAAAACTAAAATAGAAAAATGCCTGTTTTATCACAGCACTGGCAAGTCTATCACTTGCAGATTTTTTGAAAATCCTACAACATTTCTGGACTGAGGAAAACTTTACATTTCTGCTTGAAGGACACAATCCAGGCAAATAATCTAGAAATTTAATAACCAGTGACATTTGCTTTGCTGTCTGTCAGTCATTTTATTTAGAATCAAAACTTTCCATGTCCTTCCCCGATGGCAGCTTTAATGTAAAAGATCCCAATTTTTTCCTGAAGAATCAAGATGCTGCTCAGGATCTGTTTTCTTTCTGTTTCCTTCTTTCTTGTTCTCCATCCTTTGTCATCTATTAATTTACCCCCCCCCCTCCACCACCACCACCCCCCACCACCACCACCCCCCACCACCACCACCACCCCCCACCACCACCACCACCACCATCTGTCAGTATGTGGAGAGGAAATATAACTGCATTAAACTACATGACAGTGTGTCGCCCAAAATAATTTCTCTGCGTTTACTCGCTGGAGACAATGGGAGTGTGTCCTCCACCCCCCCCCCCACACACACACACATTTATCATCATCATAAACAGCTCAGATTCTAACACCATCAATCCCATTCACTTCCCCTCCACTTAACCACATGTGCTTAACTGAGAGGCAGAGAAGGGTGAGGGAGAGGAGAGAGAGGAAGAGAAGAAATCAGAAATGATGGTAGTAAAGGAAATGAAGATCAGGGAAATCCAACAAAAAACAACACCGCGCTAAAAATGCAGCAGGGATCAAATAAAAACTTGCTTCTTACCTCATAAGACAGTCAGACAGGCTATTTTATTCCATTAAATTTGAGTTTAAATGGTAATTGGCCTGTATTTATGTAGCACTTTGTAGGCTTCTACAACCCCCCGAGGCGCTTCACAACACAACCAGTCATTCACCCATTCACACACACATTTACTCACTGGTGGGGCCACAGCTGCCCTGACAGAGTTCAGGCTGCTGAAAACTGGCACCATCGGTCCCTCTGACCCAAGGGTGCCCCCAAGGGGTGGCCAGGGGTGGCCATGGCCACCCCTAGAAAATTGCTGGCACCCCCAGGAAAAGCCAGTGTTAACAAATCATATTACTGTCCAGTCAAACCATATATTGATCTTGTTTAATCAAAACATAACTGTGAAACAAAATAAAAATATTACAATTAATGAGTGAAGAAATAATCAGAATAAAAAATGCATATGTTTCTGCTGCTCACCATTTTAAAAAAGTTTTTATCTCCATAGTTTATTTTTAACACAGCAACAGGTAAATAACCTAAAAAAATCTAAATTTAAATTTGGGATAACATTTTAACTAACTGAAATGCATTTTTCTCAAATGTTTGTGTTTGTAAAATTTAAGTTAAATGTTTTTGATACGTACTATTATTTTAATAAAAACGAAAGGCGCAATGCAGTACATCGCCACAGACTAAATTCAACCAGAGTTACCACAAGGACAAATTTGGTGCCAATTTCTTTGGCCCCATCTGGCAAACCCTATCAAAATTTTCTGGAGGCGCCCCTGCTCTGACCACCACCAGAAGGAAACATGGATTTAGTGTTTTGCCCAAGGACACAATGACTGTGACAATCTGAGCAGAATCCAGCAACCTTCTGGTTACAAGATGGGCACCTACCTCATTTTTCCACATAAATCTGAAAATTAAATTAATATTTAAATGTAGATATTAAT